CACCCTGGGACAGTGGGAGCTGTCCCTGCCATGGCAGGGGTGGGATGGATTGGATGGGCTTTAAGCTCCCTTCAACCCAAACCATTTTGGAAACTCTGATTTTAAAGGACTTTTGGTAAGTTAGTCAAACCATCTCCTCCGAAATTTGAATGTACACTCAGAATTCTGCATTTCTGCACGTAAATTAACCAGCTTTGTATTTCTCTATTTCTTCTTTATGGGTTTTTGCACCTGTATCAGCTGACAAATAAATACATGTGAAACTTGTTCTATTTAACCACATCCTCTGACAGTTTTGGTGTGGGAAAAAGTGACCTTGTGTCCAGGGTCTTTTAATTGTTTCAGAAATGTAAGACCTGGCACTCTGAGAATGAAAACCTGGAATTGCCAGGAAAAGGATTAAACATGCCAACACTGCTGCCCTGCACAGAGGCTGCCAAAAAAATCGAGTTCATAAAGAAGAAATACCAAATGGGCCCAATATCCTCTTCTGAAAGATTAATGATTTTCAGTTGGAACTTTGTATAAATGGGAAAAATCAGGATGGAAAAAGCTCAGTAAGCAAAAGGGAAGGAATTCTCTGTGGAGAAGGGGAAGGTGACAGCCTGAATTACAGAGTCAGGCAAGGATGACCACGCTGTCCAGAAAGAAATATATTTAAAGTATTATTATCCTCATGCTTGAAATCATTTTTAGGAGCTGTTCAGGCTCCAGGCCAAAGCTCCCTCATGTAAAGGGAAGCCTCATAAACAGCTCAATTAAAGGCATTAAAATTACTCATGTGTGTAAAGGCATTCTCAGGCCCAAAATCCACCAGGAGCAGCCTGGGAAGTTGTACCAAAACGTGGGAAGGAACAGGACCCCCTTACTGCACCTCTGACACTGGAAATGAAGGTCTCCAGCCTCTCCAGCAGCTCCAGATCCCTCTCAAAATCATAAAAATGGTGCTCGACCCAGTGCCGGAAAACATTCAATATTCTGAGGAAAGAGAAAAAAATATTAACTTTCTTTTAAAGGACTTCCATGGCTTATCCCATAAAAGTGAACCACAGTCCTACAAAAGTCAAGTTCCACATTCATGTAGTTGGTGACTCTCAAAATACACACGGACAAAGGAGCAGAGCAAAGACTGAGCCTGGCAGGGGTTTAAAACCTAAAAACTATTTATGCTAAAACTGTTCCTAAAAACGTATTTTATAGGTTTTAAAGAATAGTTTTAGCATAAATATAGCTTGGTGCTATTTAAAAATCTAATATAAAAAAATGCCAGTGTTGAGATGGTTTCAGAAGAGGAATTAGCAAAATCAGATAAAATTGGGATTTCTAATTTGCCTTGTAATTTCATTTCTTTCTTGGTGTGTTTTTTTTTTTTTAATGAAAAAGCTAATTAGGATGTCCCACTTGTTAGGAAGCAAATTTGTCATTCTTTCTTTCCTACACACAAATTTCAGCTTCAAAGTTGCTGTTACTGCCCTGCTTATACAATTTTTAATGACCCAAAAGGCCTGGTTAGATCCAGTACATCCTTTAAGGACAACACTGAATTTCCTCTTGAGTTTTCTCTACTCTTTCTTACAGAAATCATTAATAAATCAGTCTCTAAAAGTGAACTCCAGCTGCTTTTCAGCCTTCTGCACTCAGCATAAATCAGAATAAAAAACTGGTTTGTCTCTTGAGGTAAACAAGCTGAGCTCACATGTTCAACACTTTATCAAGGTGAAATTTATCACCTCAGCAGAAATCAGTCCTACATTGAGGACAAATGAAGGACACATGGAAAACTCCTTAACTCTCCTCTTCCCAGGGTGCAAGGTAAAAAAATAAGGTTTATCCCATAAAAGAATTGCTGCCCAAACAGATCACTCAGCCTGGAAATCAATGCCACATTCCAAGAGGCAAAGTTTGAATCCAAGTTTCATGTAACAGGATCTTATCTAATCCATCTGTGCCCTTGGTGAGAACTCTGGGAAAGGCAGAGAGTGCCTGGATCTGCTGACTGCACTTCCAGCTCAGCTCCTCCTCCTTCCCTTCCCCTCTCATTTGTGCCCTTTCAGGCCTGGCCACTGCATTTTCTACAAGATGGACAGTGCAGGGAAGCAGGGAAGGAATAAACACCTTCAATTCTTCCCCTTTTCCCCAAACTGCAGTCTCTGAAGCAGAGATCAATGTTTTTAACAACACTGGAATGCACAAAGCTCTCAGTGTATCCACCAGCAGCTCAAAGTCACTCGTTTGCAGCTGAAGACAGCTTCAAGCTGCTGGAAATACAGAGCAAGGATCAGCAACAGCTCCCAGAAAGCAGCAAAAGCAGGGAGAGCACGAGCTGAGAGGAGCTGATAACTGTGGAGCCTTGTGGTGCTGCTGAACCCCAGCAGCTGATAACGTGGGAACACCAAGGGCCTGATAAGCTGCCCAAGGCCAGCAGCACGCAGCAGGAGCAAGGTTATGGCGAGGTTCTGTGACTTGGATCACGTTCAAGAAGGTGAGGGAAACTGCAGGGTTACCCACAGATTTGTCTTTTAAATATTTTATATCTATATGCACATGGGTTTCTGATAAAAATGGGAGCCCTGAGTGACTTTCTGAACACCTTGGAGGTACTGGCATGTCAGTGTGACCCTTTGAGTCAACTGCTGTTGTTTCAACAGGAATCTGTGGTAGCAGAGTAACTGAGGGTTCTCTGTGTGTGTAATTAATAATTACTATTAGTAAAATTAATGTGCCATTAATAGGACCATCGTGATGTTACTCATCAGTGTAATGACTAAAAGTTGCTCAAGCAAACACTGCTTGTGATCTGTCTGCTCCTGTCTCGATCCCCAATCAGGGCAACAATTACTCTCATTCATGCTAGAAACGCTTAATTGTTCCCCAAATTAGCTTGGTCAGCAGGACCTTGAAGATTCCCCGCAGCCCACTGCACTGTGCAGCACAGACAAGAGCCTGCCTGTCTGTGAGCACACACAGGCACAGGGCTGGGAAAGGGAGGGAAGCACCAGCAGGGCTGGAAAACCGGGAACAGAGGAATTATCTTCCCAGGGCTGGGAACAAGGAATGCAAAC